TGAACTTGTTTCAGAACACAAATTCATGGAGATGTGACTGGAATAATCCACGGGATGTTCTAAAACTGACGGCGAAGTTTGCATTTCGCTTGCATCCACATATTCTCCATGTTTTTGGTGTGAACATCGCTATCAGCAGAATCGACGAAGTTGATGGGCAATAACGTCGTGCATATAAATATTAATGCTATTGGCGATGCGGCCAATATGTGCATATGCCGCCCAGCATCAGACATGATATGTGCATATGCTACCAAGCCATCAGATATGATCTGTGTGCATATGCCGCCCAGCATCAGACATGATATGTGCATATGCTACCAAGCCATCAGATATGATCTGTGTGCATATGCCGCCCAGCATCAGACATGATATGGGTCATGGGTGCATATGCCGCCTAGCCATCAGACATGATATGTGTGGATATGCCGCCCAGCCATCAGACATGATATGGGTCATGGATGCATATGCCGCCCAGCACCAGCCATGATCTGTGTGCATATGCCGCCCAGCCATCAGACATTGATATGTGTGCATATGCCACCCAGCCATCAGACATGATATGTGTGCATATGCCGCCCAGCCATCAGACATGATATGTGTGCATATGCCGCCCAGCCATCAGACATGATATGTGTGGATATGCCGCCCAGCCATCAGACATGATATGGGTCATGGATGCATATGCCGCCCAGCACCAGCCATGATCTGTGTGCATATGCCGCCCAGCCATCAGACATTGATATGTGTGCATATGCCACCCAGCCATCAGACATGATATGTGTGCATATGCCGCCCAGCCATCAGACATGATATGGGTCATGGGTGCATATGCCGCCCAGCATCAGACATGATATGTGTGCATATGCCGCCCAGCCATCAGACATGATATGTGTGCATATGCCGCCCAGCCATCAGACATATGTGTGCATATGCCGCCCAGCCTTCAGACATGATATGTGTGCATATGCCGCCCAGCCTTCAGACATGATGTATGTTCCAGGGAGGATATATCTTTCAATCGAAGGCTCCAGTGTAGCAGCTGTCCGGTCGGGAACCTTGATTAAAGAGCCTTCACCCGCGCCGCGTTCAATGCCGTCAAACACCAAGTGACCATCTCGCCACTGGCCTCTGTGATATTTGCGATGGAGATATTTAGACTGCTAATTTCAACCGCTACTGATAGTCCATTATTGTCAATGCCTCCAATTTGATATGGATTATTTTCAAGCCGCACGTCATATTCTTTCTTCTCTCATAAAGTCGCATCAGTCTCCAACTGTGTTATTTGTTGCAACTGCTGTCTCGTGTCTTATCACGGTTTGTGGCATATCATATGACCAACAATATATCATTTCAAAGTTAGTCTGCAAAAGATGAACCACAGCGTAACGAATTTCAAGTTTTCCATGTTGCACTGCACCACCTCGTGTCGTCCGTACTGCTAGCATGTGCATTTATGCGACATGGTTGACCACAACTGCTACACAGAAGACTGTTGGGTTTTTTTTAGTCAATAACATGTAGCTAACCTCCTTATACAAGCGTCCGTGTCAGTCAGTTCGGGTAGCAATGAAGCCATGTTGAAAGTTTCATTTTTAGCTAGTATTGGAATGATGGTGTGAGCAGGCACAATTTCCGTTGGTGTGCGAGGTTTACCGGCCATGATGTACACTGTTCACCTGAATCGTCTCAAAGGTCATCTGTGGCGTCTCAACTGATCGTCTCAAAGGTCAACTGTGGCGTCTCAACTGATCGTCTCAAAGGTCATCTGTGGCGTCTCAACTGATCGTCTCAAAGGTCAACTGTGGCGTCTCAACTGATCGTCTCAAAGGTCATCTGTGGCGTCTCAACTGATCGTCTCCAATGGTCAACTGTGGCGTCTCAACTGATCGTCTCAAAGGTCAACTGTGGCGTCTCAACTGAGCGTCTCAAAGGTCAACTGTGGCGTCTCAACTGATCTCCTTCAAATGTACAGTGTCCCCCAAATCATGCAGCCCTCATGATACCATTAACCACCATACAATCCTATCCCCTTAAAATGACGTCCCACGTTCTGGGGGGAGGATAGGGGGGGGGTCACATTTTTGTGAGGATGTGTGATAGCGGGGCCTAAAGCGACGTGACGTCACATGAAAAGCGGCCTCTGAGCAAATTAAAGGCCGCCACGGAGAAGGAGAAAATGGGTGAAGTGACACTGGCAGTCGAGAGAGTTTATGTCAAAATGTGGAGACGGAAGTCATAAAATTAGGACTACCACGTGAAGTGGGATGCAACGAAAAAAAGTGGTTGACTCGGGGGGGGGGGGTGATCTTAGTGCAAGCCATAAGGCAGGGATTCTAAACCTTTTGACATCGCTGCAGGCCCCACTCCGTTAAAAACATTCCACCCCAACCCCAAAATAGTATGCATTATATTGTAATAAAATATGAAAATAATTAAATTATTTAATTATCTTAGTTTTATTTCTTTAATAATTAAATTTTTATAAACAAGGTAAAAAGTTACCAATACAAGGCATGTCCAAACAGAATTCACCAGAAAAACATTTACTGCTGCTAATCAAAATACATAAAAACTGTTGTTTTTTTTTAAAGAAAGCAGCAACAACTAGCATTGGCAGCAAATATAATTTTCTGGTCTTCCGCACCTCAGTGCTCAGGAGGTACTTTTATCCCTGTTTAGAACCACTGTTCTTGTTAAATGTTTCTGACACAGGTGCAGTAATTTTGATATCTACGGGATGTGAATTTCTTAAGAGTTTGTAAAGGTAGTGGACACGGGGACTTTTTAAGGAGGGGGGGGGGCTGCAGAGATTTGTGATGCTATGTTTATGGAGAGGGGGTCTAACTTTTTGTGGTGATTTGTGACGATTGGGGGGGGGAGTGGGGAGGGGGGTCAAAAATCGGCAAAATTTGCGAGTCGTCAATTTTGGATGGCCCCTTGCTACATTCTTAGAGACAACATTCTCCGACCAGATCATTTACCCCGGTCGCCTTTTCATGTCTCTACACGCTTTAAAACAATCTAACAGGTTTAGGCAGTGGCGTAGCTAGGGTTGGTGTCACCCGGTGCGGTAAACTCATGGTGTCACCCCCTCCTCCCCCCCCCCCAACTTCCACGATGGTTTTCTTTTTGTTAAAATAAGTCCACGGTATAACAATGTTTTGATATATTATTGTTTGGTATTTATTTCTAAAAAATTTAGATAAATAAAGCTTCCCGTCACTTAAGAAAGTCACCGGACACTTCAATTGGCGTTGAATCGTGGTAAAAATTGTGTTTTTCTTTGTCGCCCCCTTTAAATGATAATCATACATTTTTTTGCAAGGAAAAAAAAATGGCGTTAGGTAATGAGTTTATTACCTAATTTGTTTTATTTTTAAACAGACAATGAACAATAGTCTTGTTTTTCTGAACTTGTATTTGGACAGAATAATCATTAAGCCTACCGATGACATTTTTTCCCCTAGCCTTTAGATCAGCAAATCTTTTGATTGCACTTTCTTTTCTTTTTTTTTCTTCCACGGCCCCCCACATGCAATGCTTTTTTTTTCCCATTTTGGAAGATTGTTAATGTTACGTGGCGCCCCGGGCAACTGTCCGAGTTGCCGGTACCTTGAGCCGGCCCTGCCACTCATTTCTGACGCACCAACCTTGAACTTTTAATTAATAAAGCATGCATTTGGATTGGCTACATGTGTGGAAAATGTACATGTAATCGGTTATTCTTTTTTTGCTTTTTGAAATTCGGTAAGCCGAGGAGTGTGTGCTCTGTAAATATGCAATTTTCGTCAACCCCTGGGATGGTGTCACCCGGTGCGGTCCGCACCCCCCCCCCCAGCTACGCCACTGTGTTTAGGTTTTTCTATCACTTACATTTAATTCAAACAACGCTACCCAGTGTCTGCATAACGGGCGCCAACCGGGAAGTTTGCTCCCACAAGGAGCGAGATCTCACTGGGAACGGGATCTTGGAAATGTGATCCTAAAAGGAGCGAGATCACACCGGGAACGGGATCTTTGAAATGTGATCCTAAAAGGGGCGAGCTCTCACCGGGAACGGGATCTGGCAAATGTGATCCCAAAAGGAGCGAGATCTCACCGGGAACAGGGTCACGTCTATAAGTTAAACCATCTGCCTACAGCTCGCACTAATTATAAAGGAATTTCTTGTTTTCACAGTTTAAGACGTGTAAACTTGTTTCTCATAATGAATAATGCACGTGTTTTGTTTCCGGTTCGTCTGCCTTTAAAAAAAAAAAAAAAAAAAAAAATAACAGGGACCTGTCACAAA